TGATGAAAACTAGACTGAACATATTTGATGGATACGCCTATTGTTTCTCAAACAAAAGTTCATGTAAACATTTTTTTTTAGTCATTGTGTTAAATGCTTGCCATCGAATGAACATTTATGATGGATACCTGAAATTGCAGAGTTGTACCCCCGGAATGTTTTAATTCACTGCATACCATAGGTCTAAACATTTCTTGTGGGACTAGTCATCAAGCTTTCTGGTACATGTACATTTGATCACACAAAAATGTTGTGTGATTCAGAAACATGTTGATCCATATTATAACCCAGTTTGAGGTTAAACCAATCAGGAAGGGACAAATTAATGGAGGCTCATACCGGTACATGTACATGTAGTTGTAATCCCAGGAGACTAGACTTGATGACAAGTTGTTAAATAGCTGTATTTTGTCCCTGAACTTCAGTCAAACTCCATCGGCTTATATAAGACTAGTACGTAATCAACCGGGTTGTGTTTATTATGTCTAGCTGTGGGTTCAATACAAGTTGCAGTTGCGACATATCTAACAACTTGACGATTACGTTCTTGGGCCGTTATTATGCGTGCAGTGTAATACATATATGCAGTGCATTTTTGCGGTGAGATCCAATCGCGCATCGCTAGATGCAAATGAGGATTCATTCATTCCGTTCCATGGGGAGTTCTTCTCAATACGTCGGGGGCATGTTTGCAGATCATCAGCTAGGTCAATTGTGTATTGAAATGAAATGTATCATTGTTATGAATCGTGCATGTCCTAAAATAATAATTTTTGTAATGTTACACAACACAAAGTGCAAACCCTTGAAGTACCCGTAATGAGAATGATCTTCCGTGGTGGCCTAGAATACGCTCTGGAATCTGAACCAATCAGAGTGCTCGCATTGAATTCGCTAGCGATTCAAAATACCCCATTTGTTGTGTACAAAATTGAAAACGTATTCGCCAAGTCGGTAATTAAACATCAATAGTCAGCATCATTTGGTCTGGGAACCAGACTACTCGCATTGCAGCGATATTTTGCGTGCGTGGAGCCAGGAACCTTTACCGTATATGCAAAGCAATTATCGACTTGGCACCAAGTCTACCAGGAGACAAACATCAGTCACATTCAGCCAGTATTTCTCCCCACAGGTAGCCCCATGTTCCTGAAACTTTGTTTACATTACAAACCATACCTCAAGTCAAAATCAATGGCAGGAAGCCAAACATTTGGCACCCAAACAGACTTTGATTAATCTTTTTTTTAATACTATTTTGTCAGCTTGTTGGATGGTGTCAGTCTGTTTGTCTGGGTATTTTCATGGGACTTTCCGGAGTTTCCATAAATAGCGTGTTCCGTCTTTTCCCGTCAAACTCTACAGTGATACAGAAAATATGGTTTCATAACATTCATGTACAGTAGTTCGTATTGTGTTCATGTTCATGTAGTGTTCAAATATAGACAAAGATCATTCGATCATATTTTATCTGCAGTTCTGCAGACGTCCTTTCATACATGTACATGTACAATGGAACTCAAATTCATTTGTCACAGTGGTTAACTCCTTTATGTTCTTGTTATTTTGTTGAAGGATTTCTGAAACCACATGGTGCATAAGAAGGAAATTCTTTGTGTAAATACAAGTATGTAGTTCCATTTTAATGTCTTGTAAAGAAAAATAAATTCAAAGCACTTGTGACTCGTTGCACTGAAAATTGCAATTGGAAGTTCGTAGGAAAACATAAGTAAAAAAAAATAGTATTCCCAATTGGAAGTTACATCATAATTCAAATGAAATTATTTACATGTAGATGGTATTTTCATACTTAAATTCATGTCAGAAGAGTTCAATATCAAGCTGTTGAGCCTCATGTACACGTGCGTTAAAAGTTGGCAAAAACATTTGTGTATTGTTATAATCACTGACACACGTGCTATCTTTTCCTTATTACGCTATTTTCTCTTAACATGCATGCAGATGTGTACGTACAAGTACCGGTAGGTTCCTACACATATTGTTTTACTGGCCATATAAATCCTTTTGTATTATTTTATCATTACAAAAAGATACTTTCATGAATCGTTAATCATCCTTTCATACATAAACAGATTCACAGTAACACTTACATTTTGTAAGTTGCTACACGTACCGGTAGTTTGACTAGCCAACGGGCATGACAGGGAAACCAAAGTTCAAACATTCAACTTTCAGTTTGACTACAGCCAGCTACATGTACATGTACATGTACCTGAGTTTTTGCTAGTACATTGTACATACATGTACGTGTAGTGATGTATGCTTTGATGAACACGTAATGTAAATATTTTGACACACCCATTCAGAATGACTGCAGGTATCATGAAGGCATTCACTGGATGAACATGTAATTTCCTTTTGCTCAAATTGAGATATTGTATTATAAAATCAATGTAATATTAACCCTAACTCCCCATGCGGCCTAATTTACTGGGAACCGTACCCATTCATTCTATTATTCACTAACAGTCAAGTATGTATTTCATAATAATTTGGTAGTTTTGTTTTTGATGTTCACAAATGTTCTAATACTGAGTGCTGGTACATAGAGAAACTACATGAACACGAACACATTCTTTGTACATGAACTCTAACACAGCCTTTTATAGTGCGCTCTTATGTTGCATTGTTACTCATAGCTGGCTATTCAATCTATCTGTAGTTCCACACCTGAAAGTGACAGATACATGTACTAGAAGTCTTTCGATCCACTTGTGGTCTGTACAAAACCAACTGAAGAATGGTACGCTGTTTGCAGTTTAGGGTAACAACAAAGCGTTCCTTGGATGCAAAAACATTGTAACCTTTTTTTTAACCATCATCTGATAAAAAAAATTGCCCTTTTTGAAAGGTGGTGTCAGATTTTGCTAGGTAGGTTTCAGATAATTAAACTAAAACATAAAACTGGTTACCACGAATTTCAGATGGGTATTGGATACCCATCCCAGCCTCTTTTTTTTTTAAATTTGATATTGCTTTCAGAGGGGAATTAAACAAAAACTGTTTGGACAAAACAAACTACCATACCGGTATGTAGCACATTCGGTCAGGTCTGACTGATATACATCCTTCTCTTTTCAAACAGATATGGTACAATTCAGTAATCCTCTGATATCGTACTGTAATTTCATCCTATATTAAAATTTCTACAACTGAATAAAAGAAATTTATTGAAAATGAAAAGGTTTCTTAAAGAGTTGTCTTTTGTACAAACGTCAAACAACTGTCTTCTTTTGCATCCAATCAAATCACCTTGCTACGATATGATTGGCTGATGTGTGTCAGGTGCGCGGTTCTCATGACCATAACCAGAAACATGTTTGCGCTTGAATATCATCATTGTTCTGAACAAACATCGTTCCGACCAAACTGAAGATTGGGATTGTTTCATCACCTATTCAAGATGACTAAAGGGTAAGCAGACAACGTTTTAGTTGTCTAAAAATATCATAACTTAGTTATCCTTTCATTTTCAGTTGCATAGATACTTGAAGACAAGAATATATGTACATGTACAGTGTGTCTCTAAAAAAAGTAAACCCAACTTCAACGGCAAATTTTCAGAAAACTATAAAATATTTACACATTATTTTTTATGGTTAGATAGTCCAATAAGTCCTCTGTCCAATGATACCACGTAGGTTATGTAACTCTCATGCATGACTGAGCATGATTCAACTTAGTGAATGGGTGTGAAATCATCACTGTGGCAAGTTAGAATTGCACTTTGATTGGAAGTTCATCAATCAAATGACATAGGAAATGTCTGATTTCTTACGAGCATAGCTTAGGGATGTGTACCCTCGACATGACCGCCATTCCTTTCGATGCAAAGCTCGCAACGCCTCCTCATGTCCCTGACAAACATTTAACTTCAAATAGGCCCTGAATGCATGACAATAGCGAGAAATAACTTGCCACAGTGATGATTTCACACCCATTCACTAAGTTGAATCATGCTCAGTCATGCATGAGAGTTAGATAACCTAAGTGATATAATTGGACAGAGGACTTATTGGACTATCTAACCATGAAAAAATAATGTGTAAATATTTTATAGTTTTCTGAAAATTTGCCGTTGAAGTTGGGTTTACTTTTTTTAGAGACACACTGTACAGTAGTGCAGGGGCAAGAATGGGTTAGGAGTATGTTAGGTGGTTGCTTATGTCAGGTAAATGATAGTCACGACTGTTGTCTGTTGCACGTCTGCCCAATGTCAACAATTTGAAATCTAATGAAAATACATTTTCATAACCTGCATGTTTTGATTAAGTGCATGTCTGGATTCAGTGGATGTGGCAAATAGTGGTTCTGTGTCCGTGCCAACTGAAGCGTATTCCTGATCACCATGCTCTTAAAAACATGTTTCTGGTTCAGGTCATGAAAACGCACCAATGTAGTTTGTATCTTTAGGATTCTCTATGAATGCATGCCTTTAATACTGAAGTTATATTTTTTATACAAAAAGTCTACAATTAAATAGTTCTGTTCTTGGGCAACAGCTTTTTAGCTCTTCTTTAAAGGTAATAATATTCAACATTTGCTTTTGCTGCAATTTTCAAAAAATGGATGAATTTGAGGTTACTATTTTACAGCACATATTTTGACACTGACCTTATTAAAGTTTTGTGTTCATGGAAGCTGGAAAACACCAAGGGAAAAAAAGTTGGGATTTTTTTAGTCGGGTTCCCTGACCCTACTGCAGGGTCTAACTAAGTTTGGTAAATTGGGGGCAGTATTTGAGAAAATGTCTTTTTTTTTTCAACGATGGTCAACCGACCATCATTGGAAATTGATACAAAAATTCCACTTTTCTTGAAAATGTCAGCACCACAGGTGCCATTTTATCACAGGATGCTTGACATTATTAATGGTACTCACTTACAGTCAAGTAAGGTATTTCATAATAATTTTGGTAGTGTTTTTTTTTATATGTTTGCAAACATTGTACATTTCCTTTAATTCTGGTTAACCTGTAGGTGCTTGTGGTTGACACAGTCTACTTTGATGCCATTAGAAACAGCATTCAATGGACGATGTGTTGCCGTAGAAACTGCACGCAAAGGATCATGGGAGAAGAAACCACGTACCAGCGTTGCAGGCATACTCAAGAATGTAAGTGCTCTGTACCTGAACATTGAGAAATCAAATAAGAAGGGGATTCACAAAGAGATTGATTTCACCCTTTGGTGCAGTAATCTGTTCATCTAATCCAATTAATCAGTGCACCAAGGGGTAAATGGAGTGCAAACATTATGAGCTTGAAATGATAATCAGGCAGCAATTATTTTCTGAACATTTTGCGTGGTTGTTTGAACAAATTAAATGAGAAAAAACAAAACAAAGCTCAGTTAGTTCAGTGATGCAGTATAGCTTTTAGGCCATGAGCCTGGGGGTTTGGTCAGTATCAATCAATGCATAAATTATTATAGTGCGCATGCGCAAGGTATACCGCCCCTAGAGTGGTAACAAACATTTTGATGGACATTTTGAAAAAAAGGTGGTAACACCCAAAAAAGCTGCCACCACTGCAATGCTATCACATATTTTCCAACTCCGAAGGTGTATACCTTGCCAAAAATCGGTATGATGATTATTCCTCTCATTTGATACCGGTGGCCAAAATATTGGACCGAGGCTGATGGCCTATTTGTAGTTAGATACATGGTACGGTATGTACAAAAGATAATTTGCATGGAGTGATGATATCCCTTTGACTTGCAGTAGGTTTGTTGAACGAAGACTTTTATCCTCTGGTGGTGGACATGCAGAGAGGAATAGACCTCGCTAAACGCATCTTAGTCAGACAGGATGATGAAGATAGTGTAGATCTGTTGCATCTTTTGCATGTCTACATTCTACCAATCATAAAGCTGTGTTCAGAGGACAAGGAACATGTGACCCAGGCCCTGACCAATCAGGTAGGTTCATTTATTCTTTAGATTCTGTGTGTGAACTAAAGTAAAAACATGATGTCATCTTTGTAAACAAGGTACCCATTTACTCTTGGGTGAGGAGAAGCAATGATTCGGTATTCCATAGTCCTTAATTCACTACACCGGCACAGTTGCGTTCTGCACCACAACGCATACATGTACATGTAGTATACGCTACACACGCACCAATCTTCATATAAGGAGTTGTTTACGACTTCTCGCCAGATGGACATACCATAATATAGCTGGAGGTGTTGCGAAAAACTTGAAGGAAAGGTGTTGAACAAAATCATTGGAAATTTATAATTTTGACTGGTTTTGATGTTTGGACCGAAAAGTTTTGATTTTTTTTTTAACAAAAATGTATTTCCGCTTGGGTAATTATCAGCATCAGACTCCAACTGGTGTTAACATAAACTAGCCAAGCACACATTAATTCCCTTCATCATGTATTTTGATTGACAGGAACAAACCTTACAAAAACTGAATGTCAAGATAGATGAAATGACGGAGCAACGGAGAATGCTCAAACAGACCATGAGGCAGTGGAGAGAAGACATGTGTGAACATTTACAATCGGTATGTCAGTGTTAGAAAACTTGCTGAATACTTGAAAAATCCAACAAGGTGTAGTCAACAGGAATGCCAGTTTTCAGGCTAATAAGCCAGAATTCAGGGTTATTCATGTTAACAAACTCAGGCATTCCATCCGTTCACCAGGCCAGAAAAAATAAATCCTCCTGTATAATGCGCAGGGAAAACAATTGTGCGTGTGATACTCCATGGTCAATGCCATGCTAGCTCAATACACAACAGTATGAAAGAAGTTCAAAGTAGACATCCAATGTGTTTAGTGGTATTGCAATGTGTATATGGTGTATTGGGATTGTTTTGTGCATGCTTGCCTTCTTCCACATCAAATTTGTCAGGCCACGGAGCAAAAAAAACACTGACATCCCCGAGTCAGACAGTGACATTAATTTGTACCTTAACTTAGTTAAAGAAATATCCAGCCAACAAAATCATCCAACCAAACTGACGTTACTGTTTGGCCATCTTTGGTACAAGTTTAAAATGTAAGAAACCAATAATCAGAAAATATGACCCTTTTTTTCTTCTTAAAACAAAAACTCACAAGAAAACTTGCATGTAAAAACAAGATGCCAAAATGACAAGGTGCCAAAGTGTCTAGATTCTGGATTTTAGGTACATGTACCTAAAATCCAGAATTTAGATAAAATACCAATTTTTTGACAAAGAATGCACTTAACCATATTCCATTTCACTGCCAAATTACTCAAGTGAAATGTCTTGCTGTCCCCTTTAATATGATACCACGTTCGAGGTTGTGATGCTTGTAGTTTTGAAGATTTCATAAATCTTCCACTTTTCAGCCGTGTCCACTTTGTGTGGAATTTCCGAAAGCATGTTTTTGCAGGTACAGCATGCATGTACTTTTACCTTTTAGTAAACATATAAATTTGTACTTTTGCTCATAAAGTGTTTTTTTTATATCTATGGTGTTTACTATGTACATGTAGTCCCTTTCATAAAAACTCTTGAATATTTTGTAATTTCCTTGGAGAAACTTTATTTTACACAGAGGGCAGTGAAACAAGATTTTTTTTATGATTCAAAAGCAGATTTTATTTCCGAAGGATTAATTTGAAAATAACCTACGTGATTTTTTTAAATTTATTTTTTAGGAAACTGCAATTGTATCTTGCAACTCCTCATTTCTGAAACTCCTCTGTGAACAATTGAAAGCTGATGTGGAATATGGCTACATTTATATTGAGGTGAGAGAATAAATTAAAACTTAAACCCTTGTTTTACAAGGAGTGTGTGTTTTTACTATCAGTAGAGCACATATTCTTGTTCCGTAGTTGTGGGGACATACACTCATCTGTACGAGGTATTTGTGGAGACCAAAAATGCTGTGGGAACAGCAGAAAGTCCCCATAACAATAAGAAACTTCCCCATAACGTGGTGTAGGTCTACCCATTACTACATGTACATTGTGTATAATAAACACAGTATGGTCCACCTAAGATTGTCCGGTACCTGTACAGTTGTCATTAGTAGTGATTTTCAGACAAAGCTCTGTAGGGTTACCTATAAAGTTTTGAAGCCAAATGGTTTATTAATGCTCATTATTGTCAAATGTTCCATATAGCATCACCTTATAATAATAGCGGACTTCTTTTGTACTTGAAAGTTCCTTTTTTTTTTTAATTCAACCCTGTGTCACCATTCTATACTTACCAGATGTATATACGTCAAATGTATGGCCTGAGATACCTACAAACAATACACATCAAGGGATTTTTGGCTGATCAGTTCGGCACTAAACTTTGTCCATCAGATTTGTGTGCCTTAAAGGGTCTGCAAGATCTTTCTCACCCCTGATATCAACACACTACATTTATGTCGGTTGTAATTCTGGAAAAATTAGATTGTATGAGAGATCTCCCTTTTTTTCAGCTGGAGACGTGGAAGAAAAAAGTTCAAGAAGCCAAACTGAGGGTTCAAAAGAAAGGAGGAAGACGCTACGTCGGCCAGCTGAATGCGTGAGTTTAGACATGTCATAGTTAGACAACTTATTAGAGATGTGCACAAAGATACAACACTCACCAGTGTATTTTGTATACGTACGACATTCTAAAACTCAATCTTTATTCATCTACCATTTTATCAGTACTCATACTCATATCTGTTTTGTTTTTTTAAGAAAACTCAGTCTCAAACTCTGACATGAGACTGGTAGAACTCGAATTGAATAACAAATATTGAACTTGAAAGGTTGAATACTCAGAAACACAGGGAGAAAACCCAAAATATGTTATTTATTCATGTGTTATTCATTGTTTCATCACAGTAAAATGGAATTGTTTTATGTCCATCAATGTTAATCATAATTGTCCATATCAGCCTTGTCATCTCTATCAAAATGGATGTCAATTTTTGTCTGCTGCATGATTCATGTTGTCCAAATTGCCAGCATTGGTCCAAATCATTTATATACACATGTGTCTTATTTCAACAATAAAAATCTTACCGCAACAAAAGAGCCAAAAAATTACATTTCAAAACATAAAAGTTTGAAAACACTTGCTAAAAATATATTTGATTATATACAGATTTTTTTTACACCCATGAGGAAAATTAGGGTAGACAACAAAACAGAAGTGATACTGAAATGAGCTGAAGAAGAGATCTCAGCACTGGATAATGAAATCTGACTATTTTTCAAGAATTTGTTTTCTTATTTTCTCAAGAATACAATCAGTAGCATAGTCTTGTGTTGTTTTCTTCTGTAGAGCAAAAGTAGGGAGGGATGCAGTTGAAGAACGCATGACCAAGTTGATGTACGTTCATAATGCAGGACTAGCGCTTTGTGCGAGTAGAGTGTCGGACGAACAAAAGGTACAATAGGTTCCGATCATATGACGTCTAAGTACCATGTGACCATCTGGTTTCCATGTGATCAGCTGCCATTGCAGTAGGCAAGCTTTTAGCTAGCAAATACCACGTGCATTGTAAACTAGACAGTAAGGCTTAGATTTCACGTAACATATCTGCAAATTCTGTGTCAAATGGCATAATGGTCACTAGCTGTGCCGTGTACCGTGACTGTTGTCATAAATTGTGCCAACCCAGCACTTGGTGTTGGCTCTGCATTTTTCTTATAGTTTTCATCCATCAGGGCTTTGAAAGCTTGCCTAAATACTACGCGGTGCGCGAGGTTACCAGATGTAGGCCAAGTCCCGAGAGAGCCCTGTAGCGAGCATATTCATTGCTTACTGAAGGATAGAGTTATCAGAGATTACTAGAAAACATTTGGCCCAACAACGAATGTAGCGTTTTGCACATCACTGATGTTAGTTGATAAGCGCTGTGTGGGACTTGACCCTTTACTTGCCTGTTACTTGACCTTGTGCAGATATCTTAATCCTTGATCTGCAAGCTTTTTAGAATCAAATATTTTCAATCAATCAAATTTTTTTAAGATACCGGTACATGAAAAAAAAAACCCAACTAAAACAATGACTGGTTGTTTGTGTATGTGCCGGTAGGTATCTGACCCACATGAGGAGGCCTACATGAAGATTCAGGATGAGTGGAAAGGTCATGAAAAAGAACGGATTGAACTTGTGCGAAGAAAAGTAAGTATTTGTTTGTATTTTGAGGTGGATGATAGTTAAAGGCTTATATGTTAACAATGCCAGTACCCATTCTGAGATTTGTTATGCCTTATTGTGTATTTGAAGTCCTCGATAATGAAATGTTTGCATTTCTTTTCACTGTCTTCTTGGATATTTCTAAGCATTTAAACGAATCCTGCAGTCTATAAAGGGCTCCCTTTTTCCAGTAAAATTCTTTGATAAAATTTGTTTCAAATAAGTTTTCAGTGGTTGTCTCATGGCAGCAATCATTTTGGTGTATTCACAGATCTGTGCTCTGAGTGTACGAGAGGCTTTGTTTCACGCAGAAGAGGAACTTACCCAGGGCAAGCAGACAACAGGTGTTGAGATCGGCCCATACGGAATCCAACGACCCACTGATGGTATGTGACCTATGAACTTTGACCTTTCAAACAAATTTCTGGTTGTTTTTCGGGCATGCAAATTTTTTCTCCCTTCAGCTGATTTTTTTAAAATTCCTCTGTATGCCATTTAAAAAACCTGATAAAATATCTGACACTGCCATGATACAGCCAAATTTGATGCAAAATAAAAAAAATAGAAATATTTCACGTCAGATCTTTCATTGTTTATTTTTTAACAGTTCTCGGGAAAACCTCTCTACCTGCAGAATGGGAAACCCTACAAAGCCAAGTTGCAAAGGTAAATAAGTCATATTTTATTTTTCAAGGATCAGAGTCAACATTCATCAGAGTAAATGAACATTCAATGGTTGAAATGTCAAACAAGAATTGTGGGATTTAGCCTGAAAGGAAATCACTTTGCCGCTGCGCTGTGAATTCAGAAGCTGGTGATATGACATATTATGCAAATACTCACAAGAAGCTATTCATATTTATTTATTTATTTCTTATTTTAACTGGGTAGCCCATTCAGTGGAATCCACTGATCTCCCATGGGGCCCAGTAAAGAGAAGATAATGTGAAGAAATTACAGTTTTAGATGTGGGAGGAAAACCCCAGAAGAATATTCTGAGGAAAACCCACAGAATCAGGCAGGGACTGAAAACCCAATCCACATATTGGCCCAGGCGGGATTCGAACCCGGGTCACAGCGGTGGAAGGCGAGGAAAGTACCACTACGCCAACCTGACTCCCCAAATTATATATACATATTTTTCATCTCTGTAAAATTCAAAAGTGAATGATTGATATTTGATTGTTATCATCAGAGTGTGGAGTTGAACACTGTCATACTTAGGCTTCGCAGTGAATTCACTGACTGGATTCGTAGTTACATCATCAAAGAGCTGACTGATCCACAATCCAACCCAAGCTGCTCTAAGGTACAAGATATTACCATTATTGTATTCCGTTGTTATAACTTACAAAAACTTTGAAAGTTAAGATTAAGATAGGATATGGATAATGAATGTTTCAGGAAAGACCGACTCAAAAATAGTTGCAACCAACAGTGCAATCTAAGGGTATCATGTGTTAGTGATCAAATATTGCATCAAGCTGTTAATTTTAATATTCAAGAATGCGCTTCACCAAAGTAGTTTACAATTCTGTGTACTCATTGCTAGCTGAGGCTGAAAAAAAATGTTTATAAGTTTTCGCTGTTGGAACTTAAACTAATGATCTCCTGCTTATTAGAGCAGAAAAGTGTAACCCCTGGCTGCCAAGATATTGGACAATTTGCCACAGAGTAATGAGGACGTTAGGGACGCCGACTCCTTTCTTGTCCCTGTTCCAATAGGGTAAAATTATCTGTAAATCTTTTTTATATAGTCGCGATGCTTTCATGAATCTTGCAGATTAAAGAGTCGTCCAGTGGTGCGCGTCAGAGAATTTCCCCAGACAGCCGCATTCGCCAGAGCATTAGAGAGAAGAAACCTGCTACTCACTTCAAGGGACTGACCAAGACCCTCAAGCATGAACTACATCATCATTTCAATCAAGTTAGTCTTAGGAAGTTAGATTGTGGGCGTGGTCGCCAAGTGTTGTCATTTTCAAGGTACCAGTAGGCTAGTTTCATGGGTAGGCTAGCCAGGAAGATTTATGTTGATAAGCATCCTGTTCAAGAGGAGGAGTAACTAATACAAAATGTGCAGTTGCGATTTTCAAGTTTCCATTTTCTTATATTTATCTGAGGAAATAATTGTCATACAAGACCAATATTATTGTGTGGATCATCCATATCACTGATTCATGCTTTAAGCTGCTTTTTCTTTTTCATCACAGGTGGTTTATGAAGTAATTGAAGATCAAACTGCTCTGTCAGAATGCTCCCAGAGAGTCTGGACATGTTACGAGAGTTGTTTCTTCTCTTCTCATTATCAGAACATCTTGCGGCTTTATGAGGTACGTAGTTGTAAAGTTGAGTGTTCCTGTCTACAGCCATGCAACTTTTCCTCGGATCCGCTGATTTCATCGTTTCTTTCTTCTCATGAATACCATTACAAATTGAAAAACACTGTACAAAGTCTTCTGTGGTTTGGAGTTTCCTTGTCTTTTGTAAATTCCCAGTTGCATGCCTGTGTCTAAGATTGGGACATAACTCCTGAGTAGTTTTTTTAGTAAAACCATTGATGTATACAAATCTCAAACTATCTACTAGTAACACCAATTTTCTCAACCCTGATCTTTGTAAAGAAAGAAGATCCAGTGATTTTAGCAGAATTTTTTTAAAGATTTTCAAAAATTTACCGAAAGTGATCTCTGATTTGGTTTTGCAGCGAGCCTATGCAGAGGTATCCCAAGAACTTGAGAGCAATCTACCAACATTCACTTTGCGGGATCTTTCAGAAAATGACAAGCAGTTTCTGCAGTTTATGGGTCTGTATGCTCCGGACTTTCTGTCAGCAATGCTAGAAGATCCTGAGGTCACAGAGGCAGACACGGCAGAGGTAGAGCAGGAGGAATTTGAGAAAGAGGATAAGGCCGAGGATAAAGACGACAAGACCAGGGAAAGATTAGAGTCAGGGATCAGTATCCAAGGGGATGAGCAAGTCCAAGTTGTACGGAGAAAGAAGGATTCTACCGGTAGCAAGCAAGGCAGTCGAAGGAAAGGGTCCCACAGAGAGACTCAGATTTATGATTGGATGTGGGTCCCCAGTCCACAGCTGGAGGCTTCATTGTTAGAGCCACCAGCAGTTACATGGAGAGGGTCGGAGCGGAGACATATGAGTCTAGAAGACATCCACTCTGATAAGTCGTCACGGTCAGTCCGTGGTTCTGCATTCAAGGCACGTCGCTCCCTTCCCATTAACATCCCCAACCCCAACAGCAAAGCTTGGATCCTGTCCAATCCAGTCATGAGTTCTGTCAGTGACTCGGGAGTCTCCTCTGTGAATGTCACTGAAGATGACGTCGAGAAGGAAGACGTGTTTGAATCTTTGGAAGATGGACACTCCTCTAACAGTCCTCGCGACAAATATGTCCGGGACAATCCCAACAGCCAAGTCTTCCTGCAGAGGTTTCAGACAGCCTACAATTACTTCTACAACGCACTTAAAGAAACAGTACCAATGTCTAAAATGCTCTCGCTGTGTAAATGCCTTCAGGAAATCGCAACAACTGCTGGAAAACAGTCAAGACTACTTTCCAGTAAGTAAACTATCAATATTTTTGAATGAATTTATCCAGTTCTATGTTTTTTTGTGTCATTTTTGGACAATCATCTATCAAGCAAGCCCTCTTAGAAATGATCCCATTTTCCCAACTTTATTTTTTCAGCAACCCTTTACCTCATATGACCTGTAGACTCTGTTATAGGCACATTCAATTAAAACTTACAACCCTTTCCCTTTAATGAACTTCCTTCATTCTTCAAACTCCACCACTCAGCAATGACCAAAAGTGATACAATCTTTGTTCTTTAACTGTTACAAGGCATCAAACCCCTTGTCAAGTAATAGTGGCCGGGTTGTACATGTACCTTTCAGTCCCGCCAAATCATCTAAAAACTTCTTAAATTGGCAGTGTCATATCTAGGAGGTGGATCTCCTCTTGTGTTGTACCCTTTTAACTTATCCTTGTCACACCCCTAAGGTCCTCCTCTGTTGCGTAATTATCACAGCATATTACCCCTCCCCCCCTCATTTTTTATCTAGCACTTCATCCACTGCCACACCCCTGTGCTTTCCCCCTGCATCATCCCTCCTTTCACCCCCCCCTTTCAAACCCGCCCGCCACCTTTTGACCCTTACCCATCACTGCCACACTCCTTTGGTGTATCCCCTGTTTAATTCCTCCGTCTGTTTTCCTCCCAAACCTGCATGCTTGTGTGTCCCCTACTTGTGTGTTTCTGTACCACTGTCATTTTGTCTTGGAAATGGTCCTGCTTAGGATTGAAGCAATAGGCCATCTAATTTTATTGACAAATTCTACAAATTGAAAAGGTGAATATGCTTGATAAAAGCGTGAATGTAATCCGACTCTTGCTCTGATTCCCTGTGATAGGTGGTAAAGATGTACCAGTCTTGGGTATCGATGACCTTTTACCCTGCCTGATACTCTTCCTTCTCCATGGCAACGTGGAGCGAGTTGTCAGTGGTTACCATCATATCAAGATGCTGGATGATTATATGCCGGACTTCTTGCAACTTGGCCGCTTTGGCAATGTCGTCATTCAGTTCTTGGTTGCCTATTCGGTCCTCCTCAGGAGGGAATGTCAAGATGATGACCTTTGAACTCCTGCATATGCATACATGCATATTTATGAATGGATAATGATGATATCACTCTTACCCAGTGGCAGCTGATTGAAAACCACCAACTTACATTGTCAAAAAGCTTATACGTGTCCTGTGACCTTTCTTTGTTACTATTCAAGAATGTATTCATACAATTAGTTCATTAATCAGGTGTTTTTGATATAACTGGGTGGTTTGTAACCTGTGCGTATGTCTCCCACAAGGAAACGTATGGGAAATCTGTAAAGTGTAAAGTTAAAATAAAATGCAAGTGTTCTTGTGTCGTACCGGTACATGAAGCATGACATTTCATATACAGTGGAACACCTTTATAACAAGGTCCTTGGGACTTCACAAATTACCTTGTTATGACAGGTACCTTGTGTTATCAGTAATGGAAAACAAAATAAACCAAAGAATTGGTGCCTAAAGTTTTCCTTGTTACAAGCAGGATGTTGTATTCACAGTGCTCTTCGTGTCAGGGTTTGACTGTATGTGGTACATGTATTCATAATTGTGGTAATTATATATTGACAGTAATATCTGAAAATATGTCCTGTATATTACTTTTTATAAAATTTTTACAGTTACTTAATAAGCCACCGCAATTATTCAAAGCTGTAAAGTTTCGCTTTAAAAAGCATATATGTTTAGTGAAAGTATTTGTATTAAATTTGGTAGCAAATTATTATTGAACTGCGCTTATTACATAATTTAAGAACATCTGAAATATGAGATAATTTCAAGATGTATTCTTTTGCTGAAATGGAAATTATAGCTTATATTGTTGAGTTGCCATGGGCACCCAAAGATTATTAAAAGACAGTGTACATGTAGATCTATTTAAGGGAATAGAAATTAAATTTCTATGGAATAAAATCTAATTGAATATAATTTATTAATAAATTGAGACAGGAATTGAGAAAGAAAATCAGCTTATTGGGTTAGACTTTTTATATTTTTAAGAAACAAAGGGCAGACGTTAAGTTTAAAACTTTAACAAATTGTATAAAACAGGTTATTTCTGACATATGATCTATTTACCCAGCAAGTTTCATAACAAAATGCCTTGTATATTAAATGTTTACTAAATTGTGCAGACATGGTATTGGCATTTGCAAATTTTGTGATCATCTGTAACCTTCCAAGGCTATTGTGAAACTCAAAATTCACAAAATGCCATAATTTCACTTTCAAATATAACAAGATATTGTATATTTACAAACTTATTTTTGTTTAACCCACAGTTACAGGTACAGTCAACTCATTTGAATTTTGCTTTTTGTTTGTTTGCGAGATACGTTGATAACAATGTTAAAAAGGAGATAATTTTGGTGAAAGGAGTGCAATCTTTTCTTTTTTTTTAGTTTTGAGTTAATCGAAAGCAAAAACACGTTGATGGTGATATTTATTGTATTACCTAAGCAATTAACTCTTCTATTTTTCTCTATTCGAAATTATTCAAGGGCAATTCCGGTGTCACAGATATAACATAGCCAATTAACCATTTTATCTAATTAATGATTCAGAAAAATGATCCAAAACTCCTAGTCTGTAATCTCCTGGACCATTACTAGATGATGGATGTATAAGATTTGAAAAGTAAATTTTCAGGTTATTCACTGAGCTCCTGAAGCGAGTACATTTTGTACAAAAAATTGTCCAATTTGTTGGGTCTGTTAAACTGAAATCGCCCTCAAAGAAAACCAAATTGATGGCCACATGTAGATAAAACGGTACCAGTCTGTACACACAACTCCCAGGGTTGTTTCCTATTGCGGTTACAGCATCTGTTGAAGGGAACTAGACACACTGGCCCCGCCTGTTTCACTCAGAGGGGTCAAATCTAACCACAATTCTCCCGTATTCCTGTCTTACCCAGCACATCTGCTCGGGGCTCAACCTGCCTCTCATGTTGTGGTGTGCATTTGACGTCAGTTTGGTTTGTAGAATGACAGCTCCAGGAAGGGACCTTCTCCGTTTCTTTGTTTTTAAATTGTTTTATCTGTTCTTTATATGTGGAGACGGACAAATTAGGAGATGGGAATGTGTTTAAGTAACTCCTGATTCCAGTCACAGTATCCACTTTTCCTGGAAGATGTATTGTTTTTCCTTTTGGGGTTGAGACAATTCTTGATCATGATAGAAATACATTTTTTTGGAACGAAAGAAACTGTTCTCTATGCATTTGCTCATTAAAGAAATTAAAACTCATGAGTCTGTGTTTTGAGGTTTGTCATTATGGCTCTTTGCTAGGTTTTAATTTTTTTGGGGGGTAGGGAGTTGAACAAATAGTTAACTACAAAAGATTCTTGACTAGCTTTGCATTTTAATAAAAACAAAATGTAAGAGTTTCCATGGAAATATGAGAAACATAATAATGATAAATACTCTGCCTATAATGGACACTATCACTTAAGGTGCATCGCGAAATGATGAACATCCGACGCTGGTGGTTGTTGGACGCTAAGCCTGTTTTTGGCAGTTTATAGTTGTCGCTCTATGGTTCAAGTTGTCAACATATGTTATCTTAAGATATTTGATCTTCACAAAATTGTTAATGTTAGTGGTGGCAGATTCCTTGTCACTGTGTTTAAATGCTTGACGATTTACAGCACATACCTGACATAATCTCAAGAAATACTTTATTGGGATGATGAAAAGTTTAAAAGAAAAGCCAATAAGGATCAGAAGACAACAAAAATGAGATTTTGTAGTTGAAAATATACGTTAATCAATCCTTATAGTTACTAAGGTCATATTAAAATGTGTGGTAAAATCCCTTACATGGGAAAAACAGTGAATACCTGTATGTGAGCTTTAAAGGGAATGTACATCATTGGCTTTTGCTGCAATTTTAAAAAATGAACTATTTGAGGGGTTTGTATAATAGATCAAATATTGTTACACTGACATTTTTGAACTTTTGTGTTCGAAAATGCTGGAAAAACCAAGAAAAAAGAAAATGTTCTAGTAGTCTGGTTCCCTGACTCCACTAAAGATGAAATGGATCAATTTATAGATGCCGGAAAATTGTAAGGTAAGGGAACCAGTCTAGCTGGCTTTCACCCGTTCATGAACATGTAACCAATAGCAAACAAAATTTTCACTGAAAAAAATGGTAAATTTGGAGCAGTAGTTGAAAAATAGTTAGGTTTTTCCAACGGTGGTCGGCCGACCACCGTTGGAAATTTATACAAAAATACCATTTTCTTGAAAATGACTTCACACCAGGTGCCATAATTTTACAGGATGCTTTAGACTGTCATTAACTAACATCCTAGTAAGGTATTTCGTAAAAACTTGGTAGTTTTATTTGTTGATGTTTGCAAATGTTGTATATTCCCTTTAAGAATTGCACTTCAATAAATTTGTAATTTCAGTGGATGCAACTGATTAGAAAAGTTCTCGTGTACGGTTTCATCTTGCAGCTTTCTGAGGTAGTCCCATGAAGTCGTCTACTAATGCGGAAACATGCCCATCCATATAACCAATATGAGGTTAACTCAATAAGGAAGTGACAAGTTAACGGGGGCTTATAGCCGTAATCCCAGAGAACAAGCAGCAGTTGTATCCTCGCAGTCGTTTGTGATCTACACCTTCGCTCTGACATTTGCGTCAATATTTTTCCCAGAGGTTGCTAAATATTACTGACACTTTGTTTACGTCTTGGACTGAAAAAGGTCTACATGATACATCTCACTCCAAGTCATAAGCTACACAATGTGGCTCCAGCCAAGCAGTTGGCAGCCAAAAAGCTTTTATTCCTTTTTTTATATAATTTTTTTTTTGACCAGCTTGTTTAGACAAACTGTACTTTGAAAGTATTTTTAACTTTTGTAAACTGCTGAAGTGTGTAGACATTTGGCTTTTTATTGTTTCAATAACAATAGAAAAAAAAGTCAAGGCAAAGATAATGAAAAAGTTTCATTAGGGGTATGCATGCAGGTATTATTTGGCAATTCAATTAATCATGTTCAATCGGTTACCTTTTTTCAGGTCAGTAATAAAACTACCACTTTGTGAATCAGCTGTATATGGGGGGGGGGATCATCTTACATAACCAAAATGCCGTGGGGGGGGGGGGGGACAACAGAAAACAGAATGTAGCAACACCAACATGTCCTTTTTCTACCGTCTCAGACTCTTTTAAAGGTGTATTCTTATATCTCCTCTCTTCAGAAATCTCCCCATTTAGCCATTGGAAGAGGAACAGCTCAGTCATGATGCAAATATGTTAGTCTCTTTTAAATAACTGATCTGAATCTTAAAGGATTTCCTTAAAAAACCTTCCTCCAGGTCTCTCAGTGTTCTGTCCAGGTAACCCCATCCAGATTGTTTGACGTCAGCCTTTACAACTTGGTTTTAAACATCTTTACTTTTCACTCTCACCTTGTCCTCCTCTTGAATTGCTACAGACCCAAGAGGATCTTTCATATATTAAGACTCGGTGACTCAGTAGCCACAATTGCGTAGGTTTCTCACTAATTGAATTAAGACTCGTGTATGAGACTTCCCTTAAATAGCACGCCCCCGTCATATCGTCTGGCAGTTCCCGTCTAGTCAACATGCACTACGGAGCAGGAAAGCTGGGCAAGTGTAGCCAATATCAGCGGCTTATATTCATGCACTGTTAATCTTGTACTTGTTGTGCTAAGTACCGGTAGCTAGAGTACTAAGGTCTGTCTTCCATAAGATTTTGTTGCTTCTGTCTTGATGCTTACAAATCTAATCTTCACAGTTTGTCTGCTGAACAACTTTTGAGTGAGTACTGTTGTACTTGTAGCTATGTTTCTGTAAACTTTTGGAATATTATTGATCTCTGAGTAATGTGACATCTGTTGTAGAGGAACTGTCTCAACATTAATCAAATTTTTTTTTTATTCATTTGTGCTTGAGGGAGCGCATTGGAAAATGTATAGAGGGAGAGTTTGTGTACAACCACCTTGCCCCTATAATCCATGATGACAATTGGAAATAGTTTTCAGGATGGCTGGGAAGAGGGGGAGTGGTTAAGGGGATGTATTCAAAGCTCTACCTAGCCTTATCCATTGGATTACTAAACAATGTTACGTCCCAACTATAGTTGGGACAGTACCAACTACACGCCCCAACTACAGTTGGGACACTCCCAACTACAGCTGAGATAATCCTGACTTATTTCATCTGTAGTTGGGACCATCCCAACAAGTTTATGTAGCTCTAATATTTTCATCATCTCATGTCTGAGAAATTGACTCTCATGCAGCGGCAAGTATTATTTTTAGTTCAGGTTTTAAAATAGATCCCAGTATCTGGCCTCAAGGGGTTTAGGCCAAGTCAATAGTTGATGCATTTGTAATTGTGGATGGCAAGCTCAATAGTCTTAGTCATCATCAATGGACGTCATCGATGATTGAAGTCCTGTGTCATCTTTTTAATCTTCTCATCGTAATTATCTGATGATGCATGGTTCTTGTGTCACTCAGATGGCAGAGTGATTTCCAGTAGTTTGATGTTGGCTGTTCACATCTCTACATGTGCATTTCACATTGAAAGGTTTATGTGAAAAGTTTGAAGTTTGTGTCAATCATTGTAATTTAACTAAACCTTTAACAAAAATCTGACGTGTGTATATGTGCGTATAACGAAGGTGTCTGGAAAATGCAGTGTGGCATTGGAATTACATATTATGAGTTGTTGCTGAAATTTGTAGTGGGCTGTGCTTATTGGATTGGTCAGTTGTATGTGGGATCCGTTCTGCGTCTCGGTGCCAAAACACACACACACACATATGCTGTATGTTGGATTTTAAACACGGGCCTTAGCTCCGTTGGTAATGCATACAAACGGGTACACATTCTGCTGTTGAAACAAAGTAAAGAAAAATGTGTTAAATCGGGATACAAAGTCAGGTCGTGACAGTTTGCATTTTAAATGAACGTTGGGCCACTGTAGTCCAATTGATATGGTGTCTGACTCATGACTCATGTGATGGTATGTGGATTGCAACCCTGTCGGGGGGAATTTGGTGCTTGCGTTTTAGGGGCAAGAATACTACAATTGCCGCTCTCCACCCAGGAGTATAAATGGGTACCTGTTATACTGCAGAAAACTGGCCCCATGGCCTGATGAACAGGGGTAATAAAGCGCTTTTATAACACCTCACCCACAGATTCTGTGTCTTGATTGGCCGAGAGCGAGTCACATGAACTTTCTAATTTTGCTATCTTTCTGTGCACGGCCAAGAAGTACTATGCCCGTAGCAACCAAAGTACTATACCATTAGCGACCAAAGTACTATATCCACGGCATGGTATTTGTGTGCAAATGCATCTGGTGTGCGCATTGCGCTTAGCGCGTTTTGTTCCAAAGAGAGTGCGCCAAAGAGTTGGGTTCAAACATTTCGTGAAGAGGTAGTTTGGAAGAGGGAAATACATTTTCCACCAATTTTGTATTGAAATTGAAGTTTACTTCAACTGTGTTCAGATTTAAAGAATTTAAAATATTAAAACCAAGCAGAATCTGTGGGTGAAGTGTTATAAAACAAATATTGAATGCTATATCTCGTGGTGAAGTAAAACTAGCCTCCCTCGGTGATCCATGGAGCATTCTATTTTCCCTCGGCTTCGCCTCGGGAAAATAGAAAGTCCACGGATCACCTCGGGAGGCTAGTTTTACTACACCACTCAAAGCATTCAATATTTTTATAATATACATCTTAGCACCATGCTGTTCATGTTATTTTGCATATAAATTGGTGTCATTGAACTTGTTTAATGGTAAATTAAGTCTACAAACAGTGCTTTTCTTGGTTCTAATTTTTTCCCTACTTATTTTTTATTCTGGTTTACCGTAGGTACTGGTGGTTGACACAATCTGCATTGACTTCATCACAAACAGTATCCAGTGGACGACGTGTTGCCGTGGAAACTGCACACAAAGGACCATGGGAGAGAGATACCAACGCTGCAAGCACACCCATGAATGTAAGTGATTCAACCAGAGTTGTCATCAGGTCACAAGTCAATCACAAGTCCTCACAATCAATCGCAAGTCAATCACAAGTCAATCACAAGTCATCACAAGTCATCACTAGTCAAACTGAGAACTAGAGTTGGCAGAGCCAAGGTGACACTCAACAAGTGGGGATAAAGTTCCTCCAATGATACCATGTGTGATTGTGGCGTAGAGCCACAAACTATGGAGCACCTTTTGAGATGCCCTCTTCTACA